CAGGTAGATCCATATCAGGATTGATTATGGTAGGAATAAAATTTAATACAGAATGTTTATTTGGCTTAGGCCCGGTTTATTCATCTTCACATAAACTTGCTGGTAACTATCTGCAAGATAAATTTATTATTCTATTATTCTATTGGTTGGCGGATAACTGGCCGACCAATGAGATTGCAAATTTTTGTGCTGCTAATAAGTAATACGATTTATCTTTTTTTTCTATTCCTATTTGAATCCCAGTAATTAAACTGGATTTGTTGGCTCACCAAGAATGAAGTCTAGAAAAAAATTTACAAGGTTGAAAAGATCAAAATTTCACAAACAAAATGACTCCACACACGATCAATATGACCAATAGAGACCCTAAAAACTTGCAATTTATACGGAGCGAATATACTACTTACTTTGGTGGATCACTTTTTTGGATCTTCAACAAAAGTGAAAAATTTATAAATCAAATTCTAAAAAAAAAACAATATCTCTGTTATCCTTCATGTTACAAAAAAAACGTAGAGACACTTTTTATAGAAAATCAAATTCTCCACAAAAAAGGTTTCTTGAGTTTTCTTGAAAAAACTAATAGAAACTGAGATATTTGACAAAAACAAAAAATCCAATATGACAGCCATTTTTTTGCAACCTTCCACCCCTAGGACTGAATGGGACTTTTGGGAGGTTAAATAGGAGGTTGGTTACTAAACATTTCCGCTGAAATCAGCTTGTTGCTAATTTGTTGCACCCCCACCTATGTTATGCAGCTACGTTTATCCTACTATAAGTTGCTGTGATGAGGTCTAGAACATCAAGGAATAGATAATGGCAACGAGGAAGCAGATGGGAAAATCACCAAATATTCATTCATTAGAGAATCAACTTCAGACGCTAGGAAAGCCAAATTTAGTTCACAGCTCCTCCGAGTAGTAACCGAAAGGCTTCAGCAGCCAAGATTCTCGAAATCTTCTAGAAAGCTATCCAATAAGGAAGGAAAGAAATCAAAATTAGTAAAATGGCTCGACAGCATTTCAGAAGCAAAGAGAATCATATTACAGTACTTTTGAGAACATTTTCAAAGTCTGAGACCGGTAAAAAGGTCTGAACAACTCCTCGGCATGAACTCAGAAAATACATTAGTCGTTGGCTTGTTCATTGGGGGATTCTGGGGTCTCTTTGCTCTCAAAAAGCCAGTCCGAGTCTTATATTTTAATAGTCCGCAGTGTCCGCCTTGCTTTTGCCGAACGGACTCCGAGGTATTAGAACTATATTAGGTCAGGTTTTTTTGAAAAGCAGTGCAGGAGGAAAAAATTTCAACTTAAGTTTGTATCATTTAAACCATTACGTAAGTATTCAATTAACCGTTCTAAGTCCTGCATTCCCTCTACCGTATTATTGAAGCTCACGTGCAGACCCGAAGTTCAGATTTTTACATGAACATTTTCTCTATCACATTTTTTCTGTTTCAATTTTTGTTTATTCCCGGCTCTTGAATTGCTATTTTCTTCAAGTTTATCTGAATATATAAATTTCGAGAGCCTGGAATAGAGAAAATACTCATATACTTGTCAATACATTTCAAAAAACTTTCCTCAGAAATAGTAGGGGAAATCAAGAAGAAATCATAAGGAAATTATGAAAGAATTAAAGGAAATCTCAAGGAACTTAGGAGATATCTTGAACCAATTTCTCCTCAATTAGACAATTTTTATTGAGTTTTCTCTCCTCGGCTTTTGAATTTCTGTTTTTCTCAAATCTCTCAAAATGACCAGAATTCAAGAGCCTGGAATATAGAATATATGTACCTATATTCCTACTTGTCAGCCCATTTTTTTCTCTCAATTTCCTCTTTCTATTTCTCAATTTTTATTGAATTTTCTCTCAAATTTTTTCTATTTCAATTTGTTTCTATTTCAATTAGTTTTTATTATCGGCTCTTTAATTGCTATTTTCTTCAAGTTTCTTTGAATAATGAAATTTTATATAATATGTATAGGTACTTGTTAACACATTTCAAAGAACTTTTTTCAGAAATATTAGACGAAATCAAGAGGAAATCTGAGAAAATCATGGAAAAATCACGAGAAACCTCAAGGAACTCAGGGGTTATCTTAAAGAAATTAGGGGAAATTTTAAGGAAATCAATCAATCTCTAGATTTAACACAGACACAGTTTCCAATTTTTTTTTATAATTTGAGGCTATGTTATCAGAAGAGCTCTTGGCAATCAGAAGAAATCAGGGCAAATCAGCCATGATTTCCCCTAAAACCGCAACCCTGATGTACAAATTGGGATAAATGAAGATAAAATTCGAAGAAATCTAAAACAATCAGGAGAAATCATGAGGAAACCAGTCAATCTTTAGATCTAACGCATGCGCAGTTTGTAAAAATCTGTATAGTTTGCGGTTATCAGTAGGTAATATTCGAGAGTTTTGGACCAAAACAGCCACGAAACAGAGAGACACTTCCCCTACCACTCAAAATACAACGATCCGTCTCTACCGGGTCACTCAAGATACTACACACAACCATCCCCCTATGTTTTATGCTGGTTTTGGCCAGTTTTGGGCTAGATTTTGCTGGTTTTGTTCTGGATTTTGCTGGTTTTATGCTGGTTTAGCTGGTTTTCACTGGTTTTGTTCTTGTGATAGGAGAAGTGTCCAGCAAAGTTCAGAACCAAACCGGTAAAAACCAGCATCAAACCAGCAAAATCCAGCACAAAATCAACACGAAACCAGTGAAAACCAGCACTAAACCAGTATAAAACCAGCAAAATCCAGAACAAAACTAGCACAATTCAGCACACGAAACCAGCAAAATTCTGCTCAAAACCAGCATAAAACATAGGGGGATGTTTTTGTGTAGTATCTTGAGAGGTAGGGGGATACAGGCCGCGGTAGAGGGATGGTTGTATCTTGAATGGTAGGGGAATACAGGGCACAGTAAGGGGATGGTTGTATTTTGAGTGGTAGGGGGAGTGTCTTTTTGTCTCGTTTCTGTTTTGGTCCAAAACCCCCAAATCCTACCTACTGTTATCAGGGAAAGTCTTGGGCAATCTTACTGGTAAGCAAAAAAAATCAAGAGAAATCATTGGAAATTATCCATGTCCGACATTAACCGCAAGGAAAATCTGGAGGACAGTTTAGGGGAAATCAAAAGGAAATCCGAGGAAATTTGGGGCAATCAGGTGAAATCATGATAAAATAAGAGGAAATCAGGGGAGATGTTAAGGAATTCGAAGGATATCTTAAGAGAATCATGGGAAATTTTGGGAAAATCCGTGAATCTCTAGATCTAACGCATGCGTGGTTTTCAAAAATCTTTATAATTTGAGGTTAGGTTATCAAGGGAAGTATTGGGCGATTTTACTGCTAACCAGAAGAATCATGGAAAATCATCCATAATTTCACCTAAAACCGCAATCAAATGTAAAAAACTGATCTCTGGTTTTCCTCTCAAGGATTAACCCCAAGGGAAATCTGGTTATGAACAATATAGCGGAAATCGAGAATAAATCTGGGGCAATCAGGGGAAGTCATGAGAAAATCAAGGGACATTCTTAAGGAACTCAGAGGATATCTTAAGGGAATAATGAGAAATCTTGAGGAAATCAGTCAATCTTTAGATCTAACGTATGCGCAGTTTACAAAAATCTGTACAATTTGAGGTTATGGGTAATCTTACTGGTAATCATGAAAAGGATAAATTAATGAAAATCATCCATGATTTTCCCTAAAACCGCAATATAATGTACAAAAACTGACCTGCGGTCTACTTTTCAGGGGTTAACTGCAAGAAAAATCTGGAAGACAAATTAAAGAAAATCAAAAGGAAATCCGAGGAAGTCATGGGGCAGGAAATCATAAGGAAATAAGAGGAAATCTAGCGAAATATTAAGGAACTCAGGGGTTATTTTCTTAAAGAAATCATGGGAAATCTTAAGGAAATCCATCAATCTCTAGATCTGACGCATGTGCATTTCTCAAAAATCTTTTTATCTAATTTGAGGTCAAGTTATCAGGGAAGTATTGGGCAAACTTACTGATAACCAGAAGAATCATTGGAAATCATCCATAATTTCCCCTAAAACAGCAATCTGATGTACAAAAACTGAATTTCGGTCTACCTCTAAGGAGTTAACTGCAAGGGAAATCTGTTGGACAAATTAGGAGAAATCAAGAGGAAATCCGAGGAAATCTAAGGAAATCACAAGGAAATCACAGGAAGTCATAAAAAAATCGAGGGTAATCTTAAGCAAGTCGAGGGAAATCTTCAGGAAATCATGGTAAATCTTAATAAGGAAATCAGTCAATCTTTACACATTCGCAGTTTTTAAAAACCTTTATAATTCGGGGTTTAGTGAGTGAAATATCATTAAAACAGATAATGACTCGTGTAGATTTTGCATACAAGCAAAGGAAACAACACAACATCTAATTTGTAAATGCCCTGCTCTAGGTGCTGGTTTTTTTCTTTCGGAAAATAGGTGCCTACTAGTCTTGGACACCAACTAGAAGTAGAGTCATGTACGAAATGAATAGTCCAAAACGAATCTACATGAAATTCAAGTATAACATTTTACCTTCAATGATCAAATTCTTCTACAACCAGACCTTATATTATGATGTTAATTTTAAAGCTGTTTGTTCTTACATGGACAATTCATCTCAAATATCTAATGTCGATATCCTTCACGTATGCTCTCCATCAAAATGATGGAAACAAGAAAGGCAAACTATTTTCGAACGCAACTAAATCAAAACAAAAATAAATCATTTTCGATTATGAAAGAGTGCTGCGGACATTAGACGGCCGAATATAATAAATACATGCACGCAAATATAATACACACACAAACGAAAAATGAAAGTTAATTAGCCTGGTAGCCATATCCGGATCTACCATTACCAAAAGAATGTGTTTAAGAAACATATTTGGTTGCTATTAGAATTGCGTTATTATTGATAGTTTTTTTTTTGTTTACATAACACTTTTTGTTTAAGGATGACGAACCGCCTGAAATCACTTACTGTGTGGTCGAAAATACTGGAACACTAACCCTTCAAGCCATAACACCCACCCAACCGATGCCTTGTGAAGAGGAACTTGATGCCAAATTTGCCGAACTAGTGGTAAGTAATAAGATGCACTCTTCTAATGGTGAAAGTTGACCCCTCTTTATATTAAACTACTCCGTAATTATGATTTTTATTTTGTGTGATATCAATACGAATAATCTAATGGTGTCACGAGCCATAAGTTATAGGTAAAATTTTCTTTTTAATAATAACGAATTTATTGGTGAATGTATAGAATTACAGCGATTTCATGCATTAGCTTAATCGAAGTATGTCAATTTTAACCAAGTAAATAATAACGTCGGCAACAGATAATTGTCCCTGTTGGCCAAATTGAAAAGATTTTGGTCAGAGGTTAATTTTTTGTTTATATTTTTTCAACTCAACATGACATTAGATTTCCAAGGCTTTAGTTAAAAAATTGCTTTTGGGGAAGAAATCAACTTCTTTGATGTTCAACAATGATACATTGAAGAAACCCAATCAAAGAAGTAGTGATTTGAAAGGGAACATTATCCACCTACATTGAAACAATTTCCACATATTTTGATAATCCTAAATGTCTTCTTTAATTGGTCCTCCAAAGATATTAGGACTAACACCAAAAAGAGAAGAAGGAATTGAGTGTTTTGGAAAATGTACTCAAAATCACAACCCAGCTTCTATGTCGTGACCCAATAGATAGAACTCAAAACTGATACAATGAGCACTAATGAAACGATAGATCACACTTCATATAGAGTTTACTGGCGAAGTAAATTCAACAATATTTTGACCAGATTTTTTGAGATTTTTTTTTTTCAAGAAGGTGGTAGATTTTCTGATAGATGATGGGCAATCAAATTGATGGAACAAATTTATATAGGGTTGATGGTTACCGTTCTGTTGAAACAAATTTCTACTTTCTAATCTCAGAAATTGTTGGTGCAGTTCTGGTTTTGGTTTCCTTCTAAAATAGGTCTCCAGTCCTGGTGACTTTCTAGTTCGTGCTGGATATGGTTCTTTTTCTACTGAATTTAGAATCTGTGAAGGAAGCTCATGAACTGTCGGTGCAGTTTAAGCTCGTGACGTTCTTCTACCCAGTAAGGCAGTAAATGCAGTAACATAAATTTAAGGTAGAAATGTACGTAACTACTTCCCAGCTCTGATAATTCAACATTGGCTCACAAAATCGCTCATAAGTCAATTAAAATTTATATATTCTTAATCGAAATTAAATGCTCTTCAAGATAAAACAAAATTGAATTATTTATCTCAGATAGTTTCCGAGATGTTGAGCTTCAAAGTCTGTTCAAAATTAAAAATTATTATTTTATTTTTGAATGCCATGAATGAATGAATGAATTAGTTGGGGGTTTTGTTACACTGCGACCTGCATAGATCTATTGTATCCCCCTCTTGGCGCTCCAGTTGATGGACTCTCGCCTAAAGCACCTCATCCAGCCTTAATGCTTTTATGAAAGCAAGTACTCTGGATGGTTCTATGGATGGAATTTCTTCCCGTCCCACGATGTAGCATCCGAAGCAGGCCATTTTTGTATTCACGATCGCCTCGCATTCCGTTAGAAGGTGTTCAGGAGTTTCCTCTCCTTCCTCACAGAACCGGCAGCTGTTCTCGTTTTCAATTTTAATTCTCTCAAGGTGCCCCCTTAACCGGCAGTGGCCTGTGAGGAATCCGGTGATAATGCGGAGATGGTTTTTGCTTAAGGATGTGAGGCCTTTCGGTCTCCCTTGGTCAGGGTGCCCAAGAAACATCTTCGATTGCCTCAAAACTGGAAGTTGCTCCCAGAGGCTGTTCCATTTGATCCTCTCTTCCTTTCTGAAGGCTTCTTCATAGGTGTGTTTCCCTATGCCGCAGAAGGGTTCCGGTCCTGAAATCGGGGTCTGTGCCCCTAATTTTGCTAGTTTGTCCACCTTCTCGTTGCCTTCAATCCCTCCGTGTCCCGGTATCCACTGGACGGATAGCTTGTTATCCTTGCCCAGTCTGTTTAACTTGTCCTGGCAATCCCAAACCCATTTTGGAGCTGAATATTGGTGAGCTCAGCGCTTTAATGACTGTCGGAGAATATGACAATCTCTCTCTTTCTGTCAAGATTGAACTCAGCACATCTACTTATAGCGTTTATTTCCGCCTGAAATATGTCCGGGTATTTTCCCATTGCTTCAGAGAACTTAGTTCCAGTCCCAAATACTCCAGCTCTGGTCCCTTGTTCGGTTCTTGACCCATCGGTGTACCATTTTATGGCTTTCTGCTGAGTTTTAAGAATGGATGTGATATTTTCTTTCCATTCTTTTCTGTTTCTTATCACTACTGTGAAGTGTTTGTCCAGGTGCTGTGTTTTAGTCATATGGTCCCTGGGGAGCTCGAGAAGCGGAATAAGCTTGGTCAGAGATGCTAATTCTCTCCATCCTAGCCAACCTCCCTCGGCAGCTCCCTCCCTCGTGATTCTGGTTATTGCTCGTCTGGCAGCCCTCTCCACTACAATGTGAAGAGGTGCGAGACCTATAATTGTCTCGATAGCTGCTGTGGGGCAAGTTCTCATTGCGCCTGTAATGCATGTGCAGGCCAGGCGCTGTAGTTTATTGAGAGCTGTTTTTATGTTATGCTCCTCAACTGCATTGAACCAGACTACCGATCCGTATAGTAGGGTTGGTCTTACTAGCATGGTGTACATCCATCCCAAGATCCCTGGTTTGCATCCCCAGGTTTTGCCAGCGAGGCTTCGGCACACCATGAGAGCCCTCGTAGCCTTGGTTACAGCTCCGATGTGTTTGTTCCATCTGAGTTTGCGGTCCAGCGTTACGCCGAGATATCTGACTTCCGATGTCGGTATAATGATAGTTCCGTGTATCCGGATGTCCTTCATTCTAGGAAGTTCTCTCTTCCTAGTGAAATGCACTACAGTGGTTTTCGATGGGTTTATCTCCAGTCCCACTATTTTACACCAATCCTCCGTTGCTTTAAGTCCGATCTGTATGAGTTCACACAGGATGCCCTCGAACTTTCCTCTTGCCATCATGACGATGTCATCGGCATACCCAACGCAGTCCAGGCTTAAGTTGTTCAGTATTTCTAGCAGTTCGTCCACCACCAAGCTCCACATCAGGGTTCTTATTCTTGAAACAGGGGAGTAGCGTTCCCGGGAGGACAAGTGCTCTATGTTTCTCAATGATATGCAACTGGTAATATAAGTGACAAAGGAGGAACACTCGTTTTTCCGGAAACGCTGCTCCCCTGTTTCAAAAATAAGGACCGAAGTACCTCTAGTGGTGCTCACCTCAATAGACTCGGTGCATACTGAAGTCTCTGCTGTCCGTGTAGCAAGCATCCTACATATCCATCGGGATATTGTCTCGTTGACTTCCCTTCTCGCTAGAGCCCTCCGAATGGCCACATAGGATGTGTTGTCGAAGGTGCCAGCGATGTCTAGGAAAGCGCACAATGCGACTTCTTTTCCTTCCAGAGATTCTTGTATCCTACTCGTCAGTTGGAACAGAGCTGTCTAAGTGGATCTACCTGCTCTGTAAGCGTGCTGACTCGCGATCAGCGACCGCCTTTCCAATGCAGTGAATCTGATATATCTACTGCCTTCTCCATTGCAGAGGTTATTTTAACGTGCAGTTGGACACACAATGTGCAGTAGGAAAAGTATATTGTGCAGTAGGAAATTAAAATCTGTGTAATTATTTCTTCAACAAACGAAAAACTTAACACAGAACAAACTAAAAATAATAAACGTGGTTGACATAATATGCCACATATGTATGGGAATATGCAATAGCACTATCAATACATGTTACAATTCAAAAATTTCTTACTATTTTTTCCCTCAGTACCATCTCCAAACTCTCCGCTTGCCTCATCCTCATCCTCATCCTCATCATTAGCATTGGCTGCAGCATTGATACCTTTGTACTGGGTGTTTGTTTATAACTGGAACACTCAGGAATTTTCTTATTATTGAAAATAAAGTGCATGTTAAATTGGAAAATTTTTTGGTAAATTGCAACCTCAAGCGATACAACGATATTTTTTTGTCGTCATCGGTATACACGGTGCGCCAAAAAGGTATTTTTTTTTTAATGGGACGCCTTGTATATTTCTGTTATTCAAACAGTGTTTGATATTTTTTTAAAGCTAATTTTCTAATGGCCATTTGCACCGCTATCACTTAAGGGATATTTAATTTAAGTGGAGCTTTTGAATGTGACTTTTGTTTCTACGAGAGTCACATTCAAAGCTTCACTTGGATTTAATATCCCTTAAGTTATAGCGGTGCAAATGGCCGTAAGAATTTTAAAAATGCAAAAATATACAGGGCGTTCCACTTAAAAAAAATTACTTTTTTGGCGTACCCTGAATACCTATGGCAACAAAAAAATATCATTGCAGCGATTAGGATCGTTGCAATTTACAAAGAAATTTTCCAATTTAAACATGCCCTTTATTTTCAATAATTAAAAAGTTACTGAGTGTTCCAGTTATAAACAAACACCTTGTACCATCTTTGTTGTTTGGCCTGTGCAGTTTCATTTCCAGAATCTACTGACAAGCTACTTTGAAATATAAGCTTTTTAATGTATTGCTGATACTTAGTTATAAGTCTTTTCACATCCGCACTATGCGATTCAGGATTCAGCATTCAAGACCTGTGCGAAAATATTTTAGTTGCATCAAGGAAGTTTCTGCAACTTTTGTATTTGTGGATGTTCTAGTATTTCGTCATAATCTAACTTGAATTCAGCTATAGGCAAAGATCTTTCCCCAAAATACGACAAACACTTCAATTAGGCACTAGCTGACGTCACACACATAACCTAACTTTCGATGGGGGGAGAAACAATCCGTTTGAAGGACTATGTATAAGGCAATCTAATCCATCCGTCGAAACCAAAAATTCAATATGGCGTAGCAGCCACGCAAGTTTGTCATAAATATGTGTTTTTTATGCGTGTTTTGGTTATTATGCTTGCAAGTTTCAATTAGATTTCTTATAAAATATTGGTTGACTAGGTACTTATTACGTAGATAACCTATTAGTCGCGCGGAAACT